ATTTTCCAGCTGTAAGTGTTGCTGCCTCTGGAATCACGGGAGTCAGAAGCAAGACATGTCTTTGGTGATTAGATGTGCTTTCTTGGCTAGATCTGGGTTTGAAAGAAGTATGTGCAGGTCTTGAGCAGTGTTATATGAGGATATGATGCTTCTCTTTTCCACTGCTCCTGCCTCACACAGTGAACCCAGAATGTAGGGCCAAGGACACAACTGCTGCGGCTCCCTCAATTGTGAGTCATATTTTTCTGGCCAACGTGTTTCTGCATTTCCATTGTCTCCCAAGGTGACAAGTACAAAAGAAAAGGAGCAGTAGGGGGGGAAAAAGGCTTTTTGTCTTTTTAATCTCACCATGATACAGAATTAATCAAGCATCAAGGAGCATCACAGGAAACTGTTAAGCAAGTGGACTTGCCTGAAGCTGTGAAGAATGTGGGACAAGCAACCTACTGGCTGTGATATGATGCAATCTTCTAGAAATAAGATTCAGACCAAAGTGTGGCTGGTGAAAACTTCCAGAGTCCAGACTGGAGCCTGGGACCACACACCCACACTACTCTGAGTGAAGCCCATCTCTAGCTCCCCTAGAATGAGATGGAGACATTTAAAATGAAAACAAATCCATAAAAAGCTGCTGTTAAGCTGTTTGAGAGATGTCAATAATGCCATCATTCCTCTTTGAGGCGAACTTGTAGGCAAAGTCACCCTCTCCCCATTAAGAACTCTCAGGTCTCTACACTGCTTTGATACTTTCACACTGGCTTTGTCTCTCAGTGTCTCCTCCCTTCTTTGTGTGTGCCTCCTATGACAAGGAAGGTACCATTATGCAGTAGGATAGAAAGCAGTCCTGGAGTTGGCAGACTAGACCCTTTTTTCCTTGGAGGATGATGGTGAAGGGAATTGCTTCTGCTGGGCTTCATTTTGCAGTAACTGGTGTTCTGCCATCAGCTTTGATCTCCAGCCAGCTTTACACCTGCCAAAGATCAGTCCCCTCATCTGTGTCTACACATGTATGTCACTCTGTGCTGGTTTCTTTCCTGCTTTTTCCTTCAATGCCATGGGAGACAAAGGGAACAGGTCCGTGTTATCTGGTCTTGCAATTTTCATGTGTTTACCTTTTTACCTGCCTCCCCAGTGTCCTTAACTGCCCTTGCTCCAACCTTCTGTGCTGCCTTTTCCCACTTTGCTACTTCCTCCCCATTGCCTCTCCTCTTCTGTGCCTTCATGCACTGCCCCACATGGAGTCCTCTCCTTTTTGTCATGCAGCCCCTTCTCACTGGTATGCGGTGAAGTCACAATGGCCTCCAGTTAGTCAATTAAGAGATCAAGTTTTACGGCTGTGCTATGTTGTTGGGGTTTCTTTTACCTATTTAGTATTATTTTTCCCACCCCGTCTTGGCACCTACATTTATTTGAGACAAATTGCAGGATAATTCGTTTTTCTAATTTTCAAGAAGTGAATTCCTGGTTCCAGGGAGGCCGGTGTTTTGGGCGCTCAGTGCCAGTGATCTGGGGCTGCACACAGAGATTTGTGCTATGTGAGGAAGTACTTCATTAGACTTGTATTCCACGAAGACACTCTTGCTTCTTAACACCTATGATTTTAATTAAAACCTGGAAAGTGAAGAATCCTTGGGTTGTATTAATGTTTTCATTTCCATTAGGACAGGAGAGTTTATAAACATGAGCCGGGTTTATAAATTAGACCTTGTAAGAATATTATGTGCACAGTGCAGCAAAGGCAGACGAGAACTGGAGTGGAGCTGGCCCCATCTGTCTCTTGCCTTGGCTGGCTCTCGCTTTCCAGTGTCCTCCCCTTGGCACAGGTTTTACTGAGCTGTTCAAGGGTTCCCCCTTGGAGACTAAGCTAATGGCTTCTTCCATTTCTTTTTGTGGATGTTCTCCTCACTCAGCAAAGCAGGAAGAGAAACAGATGTTTTAATCAGGGCCTTGCAAAACAACTTGCAAAGGTGACATTGGGTATAGGGATTTTGTGATCAGTTACATGAAAGGGGAGAGATTCTCCTGACCCAGTTCTTGTATGCATGTGTACACAGAGATGCATTCCGAGATAGTCAGGTCTAAATATTCATCCCACTACAGTCATCCACATCTAGAGTGTGAATATGTAACTCTGAGCATGCAGGGGAATGTGACAGAAGATGCAGTCTCCTCCAGAGATGATGTGACAGCTGCACACAGCTGTGCACAGGCTGCCCCAGGGGGTGCAGGCAGGCATTGCCCAGCAGGCACTGCCTGGCACAAACACTGATGAGAGGAACCGTGAGCCCCACACAGCCTGACTGTACTCAGCTGTGCAAACTGCACATGGGCCATCAGTGTGACACCAGTGACAATAACAAGCACTTGTGTGTTGCGTTCTGCTCAAGGACAGGTTTGCAAAGACATCCACAATTTTATGCAAGGGAAAGCGAAGTGTGGATAGATGAAGTGAGCAGATTCACACAGTTTGTCAGCAGCAGAGCTGAGAGTAAAATCTGGAACTCATGTATAGGGATCCTGAGTTTCTATTCATAATTCCCACAGGGTAAACTTCCTACTCTTAACTGTAGTTATGTAACATCCTTGGAAATACTTTCCCTTGGAAGTGTAATGGTACAGAACAACTTATTTGTATGTCTGACCTTTAGCTGTAGTAGCTGGGGCTGGGACTTGCAGTGGTCATCAGTAAGGTCAGCACAGGAACACCTACACTGTGTGCAATGCAGCATCATGCAGGAATGATACCTGAGCTAATCTCTTCGGGCGGTGTGTGATGTAGACCACACCCTGTTAGCATTTGCTTTTTAGAGGGTGGGTACACAAGTTTCATTCTAAAGTCTGGCTTCTCTTCCATATGCAGAAGGATGGATGCTGTGTTAAAACCATGAAGCCCCCCAAAGGATCTGCAGCAATGAGTTTGAAGGCATTTCACATGGGCACCTGTGCATGACTGTAAATGTTTCTGTTCTGCAGTCTAAACTATGTGAATGGAGTAGGCCATCTCTTCAGTTCTTGAAGACACTGGTTTAGCACCATAACTGCTGAGCTGTCTGAGCTCGTTTGCAAGGTAGCACCTGGGATTCAGAAACAGCTCAGTTTCCATCAATGGCTGAGGTGGTACAGGGAGTGTAGGAAGTTGGGAATAGAGCTCCTGGGTGTGCCTGCTTCTCCCCATCTTCCTCACAGTATGACTGGATGTTTTGACATAAGGGTGATGTTCAGGAGAAAGGAGGAAGGCGTACTCACTGTCAGCCTCTGTCTCCTTGAGCCCAGTAGGGCTGCTACTGAGGTATCCTTCCAAGCAGCTTAAATAGAAACGTCTGGTGACAAAATGAAAACAAATGAAGAAGCCGGCGAGACTGGCTGGCAGGGGTTCCCTTCCCTGGTGCTGCCAGCCCCGAGAGGGAGAGGAGGGGCTTGCTGGCACTTCCAGTCCCAAAAATGCATCTGAGTTAGTGGAAGGGGCAGTGGCAGGGGAGGAGGAGGGAGTGGATAGCTTCCTGGGCAATTTTTCTTGAAACTCTGCTGAACCCACCAGAGGCTATTATTTAGGCTACCTGGCAACATGGGCTCTCAGTTGCTGCTTTTTGAAAAACCTTTTTGCTTTCTGTCTTTCGCTTTCCTTCCCTGTATTTCTACAGGAGAGTGTTGGTCACCTCCTTTACAAAACAGTCTTTGTTTATAATCCCTTTACTTACCCAGTCCTTCTCACCTCTATGTGGCCCAATGCCCTTCTTTGAGAAAGGGTTGAAAAGGTGATAGCTATTTACCGGGAATGAATTTGCCAGAAAAAAGTCTTGCCTGACCCACTGCCTACTTAGGGAGGCAGTAAATCATTGGCATAGCATAACCCCTTGGGCTGAGTGAGCAGGGCTGGATGTGAAGGGAGTCAGGCACTCTGAAAACCTTCTGCAAACATGGCACATTGAGTTCCATCCAACAATGCTGCTCCAAGGGGCTCTTGCAGGGACTTCACGTTTTCAATGAGTGAGAGTAAGTGAGGCGGGAGGGGAGAAGGGGATTGGGAGCTGCATAGAAATGTCGTGGTAACACCCGCACGTTAATGGCAACACTTCTCCAAGAAATTTCTCTTGAGAGTTCCTCATTATGCAAACAAGTCTGGCAAATGATAATGCCTCCTGTACTTCCAAGGATTAATGTATGTAAATGGAAGAACTGCTGCTCGTTCCCAAAAGCAACATTCAGTTTCCCACACCGGAGCCAGTGCCTGGGCCAAGGGTACTGAGTCTCAGGGTACACTCAGACTGCTCTTTTCACTCCCCTTCCATACCAGCTGACCCCTGAACTTTCTAAGGTCACAAGACTAAATGCTTCCTTCCTTAAAACATCCACGCTGGGTAGATTGTTGTGCCTTCTGTCGTGGCCTTCTGTGTATGTGGGGTCAGTATATGTCACCTGCAGCTCGCTGAGGATGCTGTCATATGTCCTGGTGATCTCCCAGAGAAACAAGCAGGGTAGATCCTGGTGTTGGTGCATTTGATCCAGGCAATATATTGCTTCATAACATTTCTAGAATGCAGGAGGGTAGATGGGGAGAGTGGCTGACTTCTTAGATACAGACCTCAGTCTGATGTGGAAAAGGAGTTGTTTGTTATAATCTGAAAAGAATTTAGTCACCTTTGTGAAACGTTCTTTTGGTGCACTTTAGTATTTTTTATTTCAGTGTAATGTGTTTAACAAGCAGAAAACCACAGAAAAATCAGGTGGGGCTTTTTTTTTTTTTTTTTTAAAATAATCTAGGTCAGGTCAGTCTGAGTTAGCTGAGCCTGAGGCTGACATTACCAAGTTTATCTTGTGGTAAAACCAAAGTATGCTATCAGTGTGATATTTTTCCACTTGAGATAGTGTCTGACAGTTGCCATGAGGGTAAAAATGTACTTTTTTTCTCCCTTCCTTTCTTGTTTTTTGGTGGTTTTTTTGGTTTTTGGTTTTTTTTGTGTGTTTTTTTTTGGTTTTTTTAGCAACTTTTGACAGTAGGCTCTGGCTATGACTTTAATTTGCTTGCCTGTGCATGCTGTGCATGCTTAGCAGAGTCCCATCATGCCTGGCATTAGTACCCAAGATCCTCAGGAGCAGCAGGGCAGGGCAGTGCTGACTACCAGCATCCACAGCTTACATGCCATGTGGCAAGCAGAAGCCTGGCCTCTTCCAGGTGCTCTGACTGCCATCTTCCCTTAACAACAAATAACCAAATGAAAAAGGTGACTTCTGATAGCTGAAACTGGTGTATGGAGCCAAGTGCATCTCAGCTAAAGATCATTCATTCAAAACACAGGTGCCAAGCACCTGGAGACAGCTGAAAGTAAAGTAGGTTTGGAATTTTTAGTGCACAGCCAATATCTCAACATTTTTCTCTTTTTTTTCCCCCCATGCTGTTATTAATAAAATCAAAGTGGAGGATTTTGAGTCAAGCAATTTGACCCAAGCAAAATAAATTTTTAGTATGCTATAGCTTCATGATATCTAATTAATTCCAAAATCCTGAAGCTAACTTTGTTTTCCTTCATTAAATTGAGGGGAGTTGTCATTTTCACCCTCTTCTCTAGCCAGGTGAACTTGAAGAAAAGAGCAAAATGGTACACGAATGGTGGTTCCCTTCTGACTAAGCAGAAGTAAATCACAAGAGATACGATCTACATAGCACAGCCTGTAGCAAAGAACAGAGGCATTTAACCTTCCTCAGACTTTTATAAGACAGAAGGAAAATGCATCTTAACACTAAAACAGCTTGAAATTGAGCAGTTTGGGGCATTTCAAGAAATAAGACTGAATCATTGGGTGATATGAATTTGAAGATTCTTTCTCTGTTTCAGACCCAGAAGGAAAATGTTATAAAATTTCTGTGAATAATTTTGAAATTTGCTTGTGCCATGAGGGTTAGCTGTGAAATTTGTGTCATTTTGAATTCACATGAGAGCTGACTTGTTAGGGAAATGCATTACTAGGATGAAGTTTGGCCATCCAAACCAAAGCATGCCAAATAACATGCTTGCAAAAGGGGGTTGGTGTTGCTGTGAGCCTTAAGGGAAGCACAGCCTGGGACATGGATGGTGAGCCCTTTGCAACCTGCTTGCCCCTGCCTTGCAACCCATGCAGAAGAGCAAACAGAGGTTAATTTAGAGGCTGCATTGTCTGTTTGGACCTGGGATGGGAAGAAGCGTGTATTGTTTCGTATCCCAAGAACATTGCAGAAATGGATGTTTTCCATCCAGATGCCTGTTTCTGTTCTGCTTTGGATACAAGCTGCAGAGTTCTGACAGCTGCGGGGAGGGAGGCGTGTGTGTGCAGCAGGGAGCTGGAAGCTAGATTTGGAAACCCCTAACCTGCTTTTTTGCTCACGGGATTGTGAAAGTGCTCAGAGATTTCAATTCTTCTCCAGCTCTGAAGAATCATGTTGATATATGCTCCACATTATGATCATATATAAAGAGTGATAAGACATCTTTGAAAGAAAATCAGAGGGGAACGTGTTGCTGTGCGTGCTAAAGTAGCAGAAGTGTGAATGTCATGTTGAAACCTTACATTTTGATATACGGCCGTAACAAAGGGGGTGAGGGGTCTGTCTGTATAAAGAACACCACAAAATCTACTGCCTAATGATTTTTTTTTTTAAAGAGAATATAAATCAAAATTGAGAAGCTCAGAAGGCTTTTACACCTACTTAGTGGGTTCTGTGTGCATTAAATGTCTGCTGCTGTAAAACCCTACGGTACTGTGTCTTTGAAAGTTGGCTGGGAACTAATAGCACCTTATCAGGGTTTTGCATGCGATAGCCCTAAGGTTTACCTTTGTAGTGCCTTTTGAAAAAAAGGTCCTGCTGTACAGAGCTCCAGTCTATGCTCCAGCTAAAGGTGAAAAGGGGATGTGAGAAAGGGAAGTAATAAGATTATACCTAATTGCTTTAGCATCCACTTAACTATTTTACATATGTGTCTTAGAACAAATGTTTGTGCAGTGTCTAGACTGGTGTTTACAAATGTGTTAGCTAACTCTGGCTAATTGGGGAGCAATTAACGTGAGTTAAAGCAGTAGTCTAGACAAAGCCAGAGTGCTCCTTCTCTCTTCCCATCCACACCAAGCCTGCCCCAGCTCACACAGGGCTTGAACAGCTCGCTCAGGCACATGGTGTGATTTTTTGGGGGTTATTCTGTGCAATGCCAGGAACTGGACTCAGTGATCCTTTGGGTTCTCTTACAACTCAGGATATTTGATGATTCTACAATCTCTACCTTTATTCTGCTAGGGAGGAGAGGCTTGAATTGCAGCATAAAGAGGCATGCTGCTCCCTCTAAGGGAAGAGGAAAAGCAGGAAAGGAGGGATCCCAGCAGTGTGTCAGCTATGCCAAAATTACACCTCTACGGGAGTGCTGCCAGCAATTTTCATTGCTCGGCCTTGGCATTAGCATCACCTGAGCTATTCCTCCCTTCCCTGGGCCTTCTGCAGGCTCCAGCCTTCCTCTTGCTTTTCCCTTGTCTGCACTGTGCCTTCCAGCACCTGGTACAGCCCTTCTGTCTGCCACCCCTCATGACCCATCCTAAGGAGGGAAATTGCTCTGTTACACTCAGGTGATGGCTTCCCTTGCCTAAATAATGCTTCCTCTCCAATGGCAGCAGCCCTTCCCAGGGCTGGGGTTGTGTGGGATCACTGGGGGCAGAGCCCTGGGAGGGTCCTGGCCAGTCATCAGGGAGCCAAGGCATGGCAGCCCCTGCTCCTGTCCCTTGGCCCTTTTGGGAGCTGTTGGACTCCTCTGTGACATCAGAGCCATCACTGGCTGGGAGCAGAATGCCAGGCCAGGTGTGCCAAGCCCCCATGGGCCGTGCCAATGCTGCACAGTCTGCTCTGTTGGTGCCCAGAACGAGATGGTTGTGGGAGGCAGAGCTGGCTGAGCACCTTAGCAAATCTGCTTTCCCTGGCAGCATCCTGTGTGCCTGGAGGTGCCCCCAGCCTGCCCTCCCAGGGATCTGCAGAGGGAACATGCCCTGCTGGATGAACAAGGTACAGACTAAGATTTCAGGAGGGCTCTTGTGTTGTGTGGAAGCACCAGGCTGGAGGGGGATGAGGAATACCAACTCCCAGTCCTCTACTCAGACCCATTGTGAATGTTGTCTTTAGAGTAGGTTTCCCAGTGGGAAAATAAAGGGGAATTACTCAGGCTGAGCAGCAGCTGCTGCTGTTTCAGAAGTGCTGTGTCTGGTTTCCATGGCCCTCTTCAGCTCCTGTGGAATGACTTTTTTGGGGGTTAGGTGCTTTGGGGATTGTGCCTCGAAAGCAGACTTTGGGCCAACATCTGGGCTGAGCCAGAGTGCAAGCACACTTGGCAGGCCTGCTTAAATATGCTGTGGGATGTGCCCTTGAGGAGCTTCTTGGAGATGGGCTTTCATGGAAGTATTAGAGGTGTATGTTACAGGTGTGTACCAGGGAAGGACTTGTGAGTTTTTGGCTTTCTCTTTTCCCTCAGTACTTGTCACAATTCACAACAACAAGACTTGTTTTTCCACACCAGGGTAGGAGTCATTCCCCAGATAAACAGGACCTTCCTGGGACTATGGGCTGCAGAAACTTGGTCAAGGACAGAGCAAGAGGAGACAAATTTTACATGGGAAGGATTTATGAACACAGACACAGGCATTGCTTGTTCTCTTTCCTGTTGCTCACACACGTCTGGAAGTTAAACCCATGAGCTAATTGCAAAGCTGCATGCACACATTATATATATATAAATAATAATAAACCTCCCATTCATTATGTACCCTGGAGTGTCTAACCTGCATTGCATCCAGTAATTCATTTGCTTGGGAATCAATCCAATATTAGAATAGCAAAAATGGAAGGTTGGAAGGGCTCTCAGGAGTCCATTTTCTTCCTTATACACAGGATCAAAAATACCAATTACAAACTCATGATCTGCCACAAATAGTCATACATGTGCAGAGCAGGGCCAGATTTCCCTGCCAATATAATGCATACTCTTTCTTAATGTGTATTTTCCCTGAAAAGATTCCTAGGAAGATTTAGTTCTGAGATAAATTTGTTTCTGATGTGCCAGCACGTACTAGAAGCTAATAATCGTGAAGACTTTTTCATGTGGAAAGGGAGGCTAGCAATCCCCTACTGGGGCATGCAGTATTCACTTCTGGGTCCTGGATTATCATATTCTGATTAAAGCTTCTGTATGCATTAAAATGTTAAAACATTTTGGAAATGTTTTAACTTTCCGACATATTTTAGCATTTCAAAACTTGGAAGGGTTTGGAAATGTTTAACATGCACTCATTTTGAGTCTTTCTATCCTCCATATGTCTTTTTTTGCAGAGTTTTTGCAGTCCCTACAAGTTTCTGGAATCATTAACAAATGGTTTTATCAAGGTCTCTTTAAATTTAAGGGAAATCCTCTCACTGATGCAACAGTTTTTGCCAAAGATCCTGGGATTTTTTTGGTGGAAGACAACATGATGGATGAGATGTTGATAATGACTGGGAATAATTAGGAAGGCATGAAAAGCAGGACTTTTTTCTGCACTTGGGAGTTGTTCAAGAGAAATCTGCATATTGTCAGGAGAGCTCTTGTAGTGCTGGTTGCAGGTACAGTCTTTCTGAAGGCAGTATCAGCTGTCAGACTGGCTGTTGCAATCTACTAGGATGCATGTTTGTGCTCCTGTCATGTGTTACAGTCATCCAATGTGTACACCTGTAGTCATGAATTTTAAGTTCACTGCTTTAAAGTGTTCTGGTTTTAAGCGCTTGTGAGCTCTAACAGAGGCAGCTTTGAAAGGTAAACTGGTTTCCTAGGAAAGTAAAGTGTTTTGTACTAGTCAAGTAAAAGTTTTGTACTCCCTATTATAAAATTGGAAACACAGTTATTAAAAAAATGCAGCCATACTTTGCATCTGTCAGTAGTTTTAGCTGTCACTTGTAGAAATATTTTGGTATTTTGTACTCAAACCAGACGTCATCTTGCAGAAATAATCTTCCAGGGCAGAAGTGGTACTGTTTCTCTGAATTCTCCTTTTACACAGAGTCATACAGAGTTTGGAGCCTCCTTTGTTTTATAACTGACTTCACACCTATCTTCTTCTTTTGCTGGCATTTTTACAGGAGCTATCCATTTTAGTATTAGTGTTTGAAATGATTTTTAGTTATCAACATTCATGTTGTCTTCTGAAATGCATCAGCCCTGTGCTTGTTGCAGATTTCTTTCACTGGGCATATCCTCTTCAAGATGGAAGTTAATTGCACAGGCACATTCCCAGGTATCTCTTACCTTAATATGGCTGTGTGTATGTTCTCTATGTTTGTTGTGGTTTCTGTAAACTGTACCAGAAAAATTACTTAGGAAACAGTATTTTTCACAGTCTCAGAAGTGAAATTGAGTTGTGTGGCTCGTGTATAGTATATAGATAATTAATCTAGCAGCTGGAGCGCTTCAGATTGCCTCATGTTAGCAATTTGAGGAAGACATTTGGGAAGGACAGAGGGATTGGCCGTAGGTCCATATGCAGAAGAAAATTATGTTATGTTTATAAGTGAAAAGTTTCTTTGAAATCTATTTGAAACAAGAAATTTGTAGTTTAATTATTTGCTTCCAAAATCTCCTCTAAAACTTCTCACTATACTCCTTGAGTCTATCTAGAAAATGTTTTAATTGCATTTTAGTTTCTAAAATGTAGAAATATTTATCTCCATATCATGAGTCTTGAATAGGTGAAGTCAGCAGTCTTAGTGACTGAGGATCAATCATCAGTCTCAAAAAGGGTGAGAGGAGTTTTGGAGGATACACACAAGAGTGTTTAACAGGTGCTGAGCATGTGTAGTGCTGTCTTGCAAGAAATCCAGTGACTGTCATTACAAGTTCTGTTTTTTAGCCATGCTTGCTCCCAGCACGAGGGCTCTGTTTTGAAAACCTGGATGCTAGGTTTGTTTCCCAAATGAGATATCAGCTCATTTGAAAAAATCTGTCTCCAGTTGTGAATGCTGCTCTTGCTGAGAAAGCCAGCCAAATGCCTGCACCTGCTCCAGATACCAAGCTTGGAGTAGCCCTGTTTCAACATAAGCCTTTTATCTTGCATAGGGCAGGTTGGGAAAGTGGGGGGGAGTTCTTTTCCCATGCCCCAGGCATCATGTGAAGTGGGGTGGTGTGCTGGAAAATCCATCTTTTCCTTTCTGGACCCATTCCAGCACCCCAGTTTTACCAATACTGTGCTGTGGGGAGAGGTGTTGCTTTTTGCAACATAAGTCATGAAACAGCTAGTTTGTGCCCTAGTCTGGTATCAGCTGTGGGTTGTGTATCTCTTCCTCTGATAATGTTTCCTGCCACACCTTGCTGCTCATTTCTACTGCCACAGTTTTGCAAATGGCATAAAAATCTCCTTGCATACCATTAATGCAACATGAGGTGAATGAATAGGGGGAGACTTTTCACAGACATCCAGAAGTGAGGGGTAATCATCCCTGGTGCTTTTGCTCACTGATGCTCCGTGTGACCTGAAAGAAAAGCTGTTTCCCTGCCCGAATGCAGCCAAGGAAGTGAGATGCCTTGTTTCTGGGGATGGGGCTGCAAGCTCTGTGCATCTTCACACTGGGGTCCCCAGGGAAGATACATGCACTGTCATTACTAAATCATTCAGTGTGCTGTTGAGCACATGGGACTGTCAGACTTCTGAGTTAAATCTACTCGTAGCCATTGCAAAGCTGTTTTGATGCCCGCGACAGTTAAAACCTCTTACGGTGAAATCATTTATTGCAGCCCAAGATTTCTCTACAGTGAGAGCGAGTGCTTCTAGTAATCCTTGAGAAAGATCAAATTGAATTGTAAAAGGTGTTACACATTGTGGCAGTGGCTAAGTGCTTAA